CAAAACTGGGAAGGCAAAAACTGTCAAGGCAGACAGAAACATCTTACAGCGCCTCATTGCTGCATATGAAGCAGGACGCCCAGTCAACCTCAATAACATGACACATGAACTGTTCGTAGTACCTCTGTCTTTGGCAGAAGTAAATGGGCAGCTTCGTACAGGTTCAAAGGCAATACTTGTCAAGATGTTGACTGCAGATATTTCATGCCCTAATCACCTTGAAGCCAGAGACCTACAGGATGAACCAATGCTTGTCATTGATGGTCAAGCTCTGGTCATTGCCATTGGCAAACCACAAGCAGCAAAAACGTTTGGAGACTTAGCAGATGTGTTTGTTGAATCTATTCTTCAAAGTGGAGCACAGTTTCAGTGAATTGATGTCCTGTTCGATCGCTACCAAAAACATTCAATCAAAGGTGGAGCACGGAAATGGCGTGGAAGAGGTTCAGTGGCAATCAGGAGATCAGTTACAAGAAGAGATTTGCCGCTTCCTGAAAAGTGGGAAAACTTCATTGCTCACTAGGACAACAAGGCGGGCCTTGCTCCTTTTCTCTCACAACAGCTGATTCTAAAAGCGCCAGCCAACAAGACCATTGTTGCTGCAGGTGGCTTCAGCGATGATGAAAGAGACGAAGCTTCTGACCCAACACTTGACACTGACAGCTTGGAAGCTAAACACGAAGAAACAGACACAAGAATTGCAGTGCAGCGACCATTGTTGTCTCTGCAAGAGACACTGATGTCTTAATACTGCTGACTGCTTACTTCCACATGATGCCATGCCAACGAATCTGGATGAAAGCAGGTACAGCTAAGGCAAGAAAGTACATCCCAGTTCATGAAATCGTGGAAAAGCTGCAGATGGAAGAACATGTCCTCAAGCTGCTCCCAGGCTTCCATGCTCTTACTGAGAGTGACTCAAAATCATACATTTAAGGCCATACAAAGAAGACATGCTGGGATGTGTTCGTAAAGCATAGCCATCTGCTTAAGGGTCTTGGTGAAGGTCCTGACCTCGATGATCACACAATTCAAGATGCAGAGGTTTTTTCCTGCAAATTGTATGGCGCGATGAATGCTGACAACATCAATGATGTTTGATCAAGCATGTTTATTAAGGGCATGACAATAGAGAGACTACCGCCAACCAAAGATTCTCTCTATTTTCACATTCAGCGTTCACGCTTCCAGGCTTTGGTCTGGCGACAGGCCCACTTGCAGCACCCAGTTCTACCACCTGCTGAAAAAATGGGATGGAAGACTGACGACAATGTGCTTGTACCTCAACTCATGTCATTGCCTCCAGTTCCAGAAGCCTGTGTGGAGCTAATTACTTGTGCCTGCACTACTGGGTGCAAGACAGCCCGATGCGGCTGCAAGCCTAACCCATGTACTGCATCTTGCAAGTGTAGAAACTACAGTGACACATGAATGAACAATTAAAGTGTGAAGTTTGTTGTGTTGTTGAGCCTGTGGATGCATAGTTTGTCAGCTTAAATTGGCTTGTTACCACCCACATTTTTGGTTTTTGATGTTTTGATGCGCATTTAATAAATGTATCAAAACTATATAAATGGCCTTTATTGTCATACTTGTTGTATAATTATTATTATCATAAAAAAAATATAAATTAATTAATTAATACACTTTTACAACTTTTGTAATATGAAGAAAATATTTATTTATGACAGATTAACTTGTGGACTTTCTAACTTTGACTTAAACTATGTAAGATCATCTTTATTAGTTGTTTAAAGTAAATACATGTAACGATTTCCTGTTTTTTAACTAATTTTTACATAATTTATGCAAATTATGCTAATAAGGAAAGGTGTCATAACTGCAACATGGTAATGGATGAATTCCTGGTTGTCACAAACATGGTCATGTACACTTAGATCACCTTTATAAGTTAACAAGAAGCAAAATTATACCCATTTCCAGTATTTGGCATAATTAATTCGCTTATTATGCAAATTACTCATTTACTAGTATTTATCAATATTACCAGGATTCCTCCGTCCTCATGTAAACATTATATCCCGAATATGATCATAACCAGGGGAAAACTCATAAACAAATTATAGCTGCTGTGCAGCAATGGTCAGGGCCGGGCAATTTTAGGCAAAATTAGGCAAATCTGAGCAACACACACACACTAAAACAAAGCATATCACAACATAGAAGCTACATCATATCATTATGGCATGCCCTTCAAAGTGTGGATGAGTGGCTGAAGTGATCAGACTCAATATACAAAGGAAAGAAAAAACTCAAGAACAAGAAAGTAAGAATAACTAACTGCTAGCAATTATGAACAAACTGGCCTGATCTAGCTTAAAGCTAAACATTATCCATAGTGACAAAGATGAAAACATTTTTTAAAATGTAAAAGTAGCTATTGGATAGACTCTGCATATTGACTGATAGCTAAGCCACATAAACAGGGAAAAGAGACAAGGGATAACAGGGGAAAGTGTTGATAAAGAGTATTTGTCTCTCCGCAAAACTGCCTGGATCATAATTACTTTAACCTTGGTAGTCTCTAATCCACATAGCATGATGCCTGAACATAGGACTTTCACATTAGAACATTTGCTTAGCTGAGGCTTGAACTCACAACTTCTGAGACTGAGGTCCGTCTTCTATCTCACTGAGCTAATTGGCAAGTGACAGTTCATGTGTGGCTTCACAAATTGACTAAGCCAAGCATCAGGGTGCCAGACAGTAGCCATCCATGCCATGGAAAAGCACATTTCAAAGTGAAAGTTCCAAAGCTGTAAGCACATATGGTTGATTTGTTATGAATTTTCAAAGTTTTGAAATTTAGAGGCTTGCTGTAGCGCCACCATCAGGACTATTGTCTTGTGTTTCCAGTTGAGGACATCTGGCATGGGACTGGACCTTTATGAAAAGTTTGGGTAGATTTCTCATATAGAAATGTTGCACGAGCTGAGGCTTGAACTCAATCTTCAACACCAAGAACCTTCCTCTATCTCACTGAGCTAACTGGCAAACAGAAATGTCACATGTAGCTTCACAAATTGACTAAGTCAGTCACCTGTGTGCAAGACAGCAGCTGTTAGTGTGTAAAGACAAATTTCAAACGGCTGTCAAAAATTCAGTTATTAAGACAAAAGTCAGAAAATACACAAATTGCATCTAGACAACAATGATTTATTGGCTCCATAAGTGAAAAACTGATGTTTAAAAATGCCATTTTTGCACTGACTCCAATTGTTCACATGAGAGCAAAATTCAAAATGCTGTAATTTTGTCATTTTTTTAATGAACACTGAAAATGTATTTAGCAAGAATTTGCAAGTATATGTTTACAATACCGTTTACAGTCAAACATTTTGATGCACTGTAGGCTCAATTTTTGATGAATCCAAAATTTGTGTGGATCGTTTGTGTAGGACAGTCTGAAGATGCTCTGTAGCAAGTTTGGTGTCAAGTGAGCAAAAATTGTGGGAGGAGATAGGTTTAATAGAGTTTTACAGTTTTTGAAAAAAAAACAGAGTAATGGATTTCATAATTTGCAATAGGTTTAAATGTACAAAAGTTTCTTGAGTACTGGGGCTACATTTTGGTGAAAGTTGCAAATCTGTAGCACATATGGTTGATTTGTTGTGAATTTTCATAATTTTGAACTTTAGAGGCTTGCTGTAGCGCCACCATCAGGACTATTGGCCTGTTTTTGCAGCTGAGGCAATCTGGCATGGGACTGGACCTTTGTGCAAAGTTTGGTGATTTTTTGCGCATGGGAAGTATGATTTCCTCGGAAGAAGAAGAAGAACATACAGCAAAACAATAGGGTCCTGGCAGCTTAGGCTGCCTGGCCCCTAATTATTCATGTCCATGTAAAAGAGGTCAGTGATTGAAAATGTCCAAATGTAGATTTTCCCCCTTCTACCATAAGTTAAAAGCTTAGTAATCTAACCTAATGACTGTAGTTATAGACTGAAGTATATATTTCACTTTTCATGTCTTTGCCATTGTCATCAACCTTCAGCTTGGAAGAGAAGAAAAAAAATATAATTTGATGTCCAACTGTTCTGTCACCATTCATTATGTTCTTAGACTTGGGCAGTATGGCAGTATTATGATATACCAGGGTATTCAAAAATCCCCACGGTACAATTTTTAATACCGTCATAAATACAGGCACTCCTCTCGCTATTAAAGTCAGTCACACACCACCAGAGGTCAGTCTCCGGTCTCTACTGGTGGGGTAGGCAGCTGAGCTTAAAGACACCGTAAAGACACCGAGACACAGATTGATGGAGAAGTAACGCCTGGGCCACACTGGCTGCTTAAGCAGCCTGCGTGTGTCATGGAACCTGTATTTCCGCACCCATCCGGCGCACAGTGGATTGCAAATAGCCAGCCAACAATGACCCAGACAAACCGTAGAGAAAAACAGCATGTTTTCTACATCTTACTCAGTGAATTAAGGGTTTATTTTTATTTCAGTTTTTTATTTTATTTTTGTTAGAACAGTGCACTAAGTAACTGGATGAGTGATAAGAGTAACCAAGACGCTTTGGGTGAGTTTTATTTTGTTGTGTCATATAGCACCTTTCCTACAAACATGCAGCCCAAAGTGCTTCATGTGGCAAAATTGGAATGACACATACACAAAACAATAATGTATTAAAAAGCATACCAACCAAAACAGAACAAACTGACAAAAAAAGTCTAAGTTCCGTGACCGAAAGAAATGAGAAGGAAAATGGATGTGAGAATATTACTTTTCTCGACATTGTACGAGTTGCTATTGTGGGTGGGTGTAAATAATTTTTTTTTTTTTTACTAATTTGTCATATCATCAAGACTGTTGTTATCACAAAAATACCCTGAAATATCGCGGTATTATTTTGGGGCCCTATCATCCACCTCTAGTATGAAGATATGAAAAATTACATACAACCCAAGCCCATGTTCTATTAATTCTGCACCAGGAGCATCTTTACTGAACAGTGATGAATATGTCTTACAGTTAGTGGCATGGACATTCTCCTCTAGCTTGCAGTAGAGTCTCAGCTCTGAGATGATCCAGGCACAAAGCTTAGTAAACTCAGGTGAAGCTGCTGCTCCGCTCACAGCACCATCCAGAGCTCCTTCCTCCAACAGAGGGCCTTGGTACCTAAAATGACACACACATGAACACATGCACAACTCTTAGCTTCCCTCATCAGTACAGCACAGCAGTAATAATACCGAGGTTTAGTTCAATGAGCAGAGCCAGGTTTGACTCTCATTACCACCAAACTCCACTCTGAAAACTGGTTATTTACTGAAGTCTTCACTGTTTAGTTAAGAAAGTGAAACTTAGGGACTGTTCATTACTTATGAAGGGGAGAGGGTGCTGCCAACAGGGCAGGCATGTTACATTTTTTATTAAAGCACTGGGGAGGGACTTGTGTTTTTGTTTTGTTTTTTTTTTACTTTGGGTAAGATAAGGACATACAACTTGAAATGGTTGTATTTTTTTCTTTTCAGTACCCAGTGAACCCCAAACCTGGCAAGTTTTATTTGTTTGTTTTGTTTTTTTATATTGTCACACCAATTATCATTGGTAGAAACTGTAAAAAAAAAAAACTTGTCTGATAATGAAATGATTTGTAAGGAAGATTTGCATTTTGCTCCAGAAATAAGGTTGCAACAGTATGAGATTTTCACTGTACACTGACTGTCTCAGAAAATATAGCAGTTTCACAGTATCACGATACTACAGAATTATTATTATCAGGCAGAATAACCGTTAAAGGTTAACAGAAAGGTTATCTTTGGTTGAACAAATGTTTTATTAACATAACTAAAACTTTTTTTTTTTGGAGGGATGTGTAAAAAGTTTCCCTTTTGAAAATAACTAAAATATGGTGAGATTCTCTGTCTAGTTGCATCGTTTTCAATATTGTAGATTAGCGAATGTACATGTTATAATACACATCAATTTTCATATCACGGTGTATAACCATTATACCCCTGCAACCCTACTTAGAAATTAGCTTTCTTTTGGTGATAACTATCAGTCCTGTCCCATTTGCTTTTTTTCACTGGCTCCAATACCTATATGTAGTGTAAATATAGAAAAAAATTGTTAGGGCCTACTTATGGTTGAGGAAGTGTCATGCATTTTCTCCAAGTCACTGAGAGCAGCTGGTAGAAAAATGTATGTAGCTTCGGGAAGGGTCAACATCAGAAAACAACAAAACAAAACACACACACAAAAAAAAGTCACACCCGAGCCACCCCCTCCACTGATAAGTAGAGAACAGTCCCTAAATGAACGTACTTTCTGCACAGAAATAGGTTCGGGAGGAGAAGCTACAGGATATTTCAGCATAGTGACGAAACTAGTCAAGAAGCATTTAATCAATAAATGGTGTATTTTTAGAGAGTGGGTCTGGAATTGGTTAAAAGAGAGGAATGTGTTGGAGCTGTCCTGGTATGAAGGGGCAGCCTCTGCTGACGCAGCTTGTGGCACAACATGCAAAATCAGTCTTTGGTCTATTAATACCGGTACATACACGGATACGGTTCATATTAACAGCCCTAGCAATAAAAAACACCCACCAACGTCAGGCTAACGTTAACCAAACAAGAGCAAATTCACCGTTTGCCTAAAGCAAGCTCCATTGTAACGTTAATGCGCTGCTAAAACAGAAGAAACTGGTTAATGGAATGTCAGCTTTCGCACACCATCTTCATACAGCGGCGGCCATTTTTTAAACTTACCCTAAATCTTCAAGAGAGACAAGAATGTCATTCTCCATCCCAGTAATCTCTGGTTCTGCTCTAAAATCACGTCCTTTCAAACAGAGTTTTCACATTAGCCAGCTCAGCTGATACACGTTTTACTTATTATTCTTCTTCAGTGCGTTTTGATCGATTGCAATAGCAGCTTTTAGATGCATACCGCCATCTACCGGACCGGAATTTGTAAAAAAACAGGATGCAGCTTACATCACTCTGTCATAATAAAAGACAGCAAAACTCATCTGTTATCTCAAAGACTAAAGTTATGTCTTGATTCAATAGTGGATGAATGTCAGTCTGGTTTCATGAAAGGAAGACCTATATCTAAAAATATTCGTCTAATTCTAGATCTTGTTGATTATAGTGACCTAATTGATGATGAAAGTTATATTTTATTTATAGATTATTATAAGGCATTTGAGACTATGGAGCACAGCTTCCTCTTCAACACTCTAGATTTTTTTGTCTTTGGAAGCTTTTTCAAACGTATAATTCGAACATTATATGAAGGCAGTAATAGTTCAGTTAAATTACCAAATGGGACCACACCCAGATTTAGTATAGATAGAGGAATTAAACAAGGGGAGTTTTTCCTTGGTCTCTGGATTAAAACTAAATATCAATCTTTTCCCTTTAAAAGATAGGCCGGATGACTTAGCTGAAATATGTGGTATTCCTGTAAAAGATGTGGTATCTTACTTGGGTATTAAAGTCTGTAAAAACCAGGTGGATAGAGTGGCTCTGAATTTTAACCCATTAATCGAAAAAATACAGAAAAAGTTTGATAGCTGGCTGTTGCGTGATCTATCTTTGAATGGCCATATATTATTATCAGAAGGTGAAGGTTTGTCACGGCTTATTTATACAGCTATGGTATTGAACGTTCCTCTTGCTTTAATCAAAAAAAATTATTCGAAACTCTTCAACTTCATCTGCAGAAACAGACCTCACTATCTAAGAGTGTTTTATGCAACTCCTCCTCCAACGGTGGTCTTAATGTCCGTGATTTCAGTACATCAAACACGACATTAAAGGTAAAATGGTTAAAGGGCCAGTGTGTAATATTTGGCATGGTTTATTGTCAATCTGAATCTGAATCTGAATATTCTACCCATTAATATGTTTATACAAGTATATGATCGCTATAAAATAAAATTTGTTTGGTTTTCGTAGCCTTATAATTATGCTTTTATATATATACATAGCAAGGGCCTTGCTTTAGAGAGGTCGCCATCTTGCGCCGTTATGTATGTAAGGCAGCCCGAGCGGACAATCCAGCCAGCCAGAGAACGCGTTTCGCGTGTATAAATGAACCAACGAAGACAGCGGAAGGAAGGAAGAAGGAGGAGGAAACAGCAGAGAGTGTTGGTAGTTCGTCGATAGAGAGTAGCGAAAAGTTTTTTAAGTTATAAAGTTTGCGAATGGACCACACTTACCACGCAACAGGAGAGAATGAACCCGAACCGTCATCTGCGAGGAAAAGAAGACGCAACTTCACTCCTTGTGATGCACTCTCTGCGGCGCTTTTCCTCCTGGTGATATCTCCCCAACAATGGTAGCAGTAGCACCGAATCCCATTCTGTGCATTCAGCCTCTCTTTTCGCCCGCTAAGCATCAAACACATGGAGTTCCTCATCTGTATGCTCCGGCTCAAACAGGTATGGCTCTGGGTCTGTGTCCGCTACAAGAAACTCTTCAAAATCGCGTTCAAAGTCGTCCATTGCAGCTACTATAGTCCGGAGATATTGCTAGGCTAAATAAACAGCTGAGCTCTGTTTACAGGCTACGCTGTCAGTCAGTGTGCGGGCTGGAGATTGG